CCAGCTGTGTGGTTCTGCCCCCCCCGCCCGGGTCTAGCCTGTACATGGCCACTTTTATTTAAAAGGCCCGTTTGCCCTTATGAATAGGCATGATCTGCTTATTAAGACAAGAAGCACTTCCCCCGTCCCTCCCTCCCTCCCTTTGTGGTGACTGCAGCGCGACGCTGTCTGAGCGCAGGGCTGGTAAGTTATGCATGCTGGAGCTGTTCTTTTGTGAAGGGGAGATGTTACAACTTGTGTGATTTGCCATTATGCTGTCTTTTGTGACAATCTCGAAAGGGAAAGAAATGTCTGGAATATTTCTGGCAAAAAAAAAATAATCTGACGTCCAAGAAAGGATTCAGCGGAGGATGTCGGTGTGCTTTACATTTGAGAGAAGAAAGACAAATCATACACTTCAGTGCCCCCACCCCCAAAGCAAAATCATCTTTATACACACACAGGGATTTTACAAATCCCCAAGTCCCTTCTTCTGAAAATTGATTGCAAAACAGCCATCAAAGTTTCTGAGTAGGGGAAAAAAATCTTCTCTAATATCCACTAACGTGTCTGTGACCTGGATATCGTGCACACACAACTTTGTCTAAAATTTCCAGTTACAACAGAAAGTGAAAGCAAAGTTAAAGTCTTCATATCAAGCACCAAATTTCTGGATCCCCAGTTACTGCTTGCTCAGGAAAAGTGTAATTTTTTTTATAAATTACTTTTCAATAATGTTTTACATTTTACAAAGAAAATACTGTCATGAATGTTCTATAAGAGAAAAATCTGTTCTTTTCAAAAAAACCCCAAGAAAAATGTATTTGGCAATTAAAGACATATATCATGAATGTATTTCACCTCTGAAGTGAAGCACCCGTGTAGAAATGTGCTTTGATTTAGGTCTTATCTTCTTAAAGCAAACAGTTTGAGTCTTCCACATACTACTGAAATTCAATGGTATTATTATTACGGTAAGAATAAGAATTGTCTACATATAGGACTCTAGGGGGAAAATATATTGGAAGCAAATTTGTTTGCAGCACAATTAACCTTATGTTAAAAACATATGAACAAGTTTTGCAGGTCAAATAATCTACCATACAAAAAGGGCTGAATTATCAAAATTTGTACCAGCAATCGGATGTTGCTTTATATACTGAATTTCTATCTTTCTGTTCTAAAGTAACCATTGGAATAATTTTCTTACAGAATGATAGTTGCTATGACAACCATAGCAAATTTTCCTTTTCTGAAACAGATGTCTCATTTAGTTGAAAATTAGAATGTGAAAAACCCATGGGAAAAATTAATTCAAACTTTAACAGAACACTGACTACAATGTAATCTCTTACAGGTTAACCCCTTAACATCTTTCTGCACTCTTACAGTAACCTTCTCATAAATTCTAATTAAAGCAGTTTAACCTCCTAGGAATGACCTTCTTAGCTATCATTAGCGCTTCAGTTGTCTTTGAAAGGAACATTTCTGTTACAATAATAACAGAAAAAAGTCATACTAAAAAAAAAAGTGGTCAAACATGTTACTGCCTTTATTATTTATTAGTTTTTCTTCTTTTATTCAGCTACTATAGGAAAGAGCTACCACGTAGTCCAAGATTTCTTTTGTCATTTAAATGGGGCATAACTTAGTTTTACATGAAATTTACAGTAAAGGGCAGTGCGGCACTACACAGATGTGACCTGTAATTTACGTGAAAATTGAAGGTTTTCAATTTTCAAATCACTGGTACCCATCTCAACCTGCTCAGCAGATGTACAAAAAGGGGACACAAAAAAGGATACTTGACCGGTGAAAACTATCAATGTGCATGGATTTTTCTATTGGAAGCAAAGAGAGAGTGAAATCTGATTCTCCATTACCTGGATTCAATATAAACGTTTTAACTTAAAGAATGGATTCGTTCCTCTCTGTATGCTTACCAGCTCAAGGGGACCCTCCACAGTACTTCATGATCAGCTGCAAATGAACATGGCAGGCAGGCAGCGGGCAGTCAAAGAAATATTCCCACCATGGCATGGCCCATAGCGCTTGCGAAGTGTCAGCTACCACAAGAACTTCAGGACCACAAGATTTGCTGTGGCAGCTGCAGCTAGGTTGTCCAGCTGAGTAAGACAAATCCTGCCACCAGTAGGCATGCAATTACTCTTTGACTTCAAGAGAAAGCTCCCTTGCACAGTCCAGTACCCAGAGAGATCTATGGGCGGTAAGGGGCTGAATAGCCATTCACGTATCAAAGGGATTAGTGGGCAGCATTTTGCAAAACACCTTAATGGCAAAAAAATGCAGAACTACGACACAATGTGCCTCCTCATTTCTGTATTTTCCTACAGAAATCTTTTTAGCAGCTGAAAGGCAGGTTCTC